TAGTCACTCACACACCTTTTTATAAATATATTTACATCTAATAGCAAGTTTAATGGAACCCTGAAAAGACAGTTTAAAAAAACCAGAGAAAAGTTTTGAGATGAAGAATACTATCTCATCCTATTCTTTGAGAGCTTAGCTTGAAAATGTCTCCATTACAAAGTGATAAAAGTGCCTGAAACAAAGAAATATTTTTTTATAAATCTTGTTAAATTCCTATTTAATGATATTGCCAAGAATGACATTTCTGAAATTTTAAATATATACAAGTTATAGTTTAGAGATAACCAAAAAATTTTAAAATAAATTTTTAAATGTACAGATTATTTCAACCATGTGTTTTGTTGCATAACTCTACATTTAGAAAGTTTTTAGAATATTATTTATCATTTGAAAATCAGATTTAGAATATAACAATAAAAATAGGTTAAGTAGAATGGTTAGGATGTTGTAATTTATAGTTCTTAACTTTGTCTATGTCTACTCAAATTGCTTTTTTTTCTAACTTGAAAATTTTTATTTGTTTAGTGCNAGAACAAACACAAGAAGAAGCGACGTAAAATAATGAATACCAATTGGTCTTCCCTTGTCTTCGGGCTACAATTCGAAACTTTTTGGAGTGTGGGAGCCCACCGCTTGTCAGGCAGTTGTCCTCATTATTTGTCTGTTTTTTTTTTTTTTACTCTGGTTTATTTGTAAATAAATGTGAAGCGTGCACTGTGGGATCCCACCTCTTCCTCCCTCTTCCTGCCCCCCACTTTCATCCCCTATCCTTCGCATTTCTCCCTCTTCCTTCATTTCTTTTCCCCTCCTGGTCGTACCTATGAGTGATACCAGGAGTTCCCCACTTTTCATAAATAAAATAAAATAAAATAAAATGCTGTAAAACTGGCCTTTCAGGAATTCAATGGTCTTGTGAATATGGGAATCTGGGTTAAGAGAGGATACTCTTATTCAAGTTTGGCTTCAGAGCTATGAGATCCACCCACTTTGTCAGTAGATGGGGATTCTTATTTTAATGATTTCTTAGTTAACAAGAAGCTCTTACGACCTTCCCTAAATTCTCGTGACACCTGCCAAAATTGCACATTAGGCCCACAATATGAGCTCTCTCTGAGGGGAGGACTCATTGATTCCCGATAAGACATCGGCATATATTTTAGGATCAAGAATCAGACCATTTAAACAAACTAAAACAAAATTTAATGAAAATTTCGAAAATAAAAATACAGGTAATTGATAACTACAAGTAACTCCTAATATTCCTATTTGATGTGTGAGAGAGAGAGTTTACATATCTAGACATATTACCTCAACTTGTAAATGGCAATTTTGCATTGAATGACAACTGTTCAGATGAGGCGAGGAGACTTGGGAGACGGTTGGAGGAGATTGGCTCAAATTGGGGAAAAATGGCATGAAAGGGTTGGAGTAGAACAGCCTTGAATGGCAGGAAATGGCCCTTTTTATACATAAATCCCTCCAATCGGATTTTGGAATTTGTAACATCTGATGGGACATACAGATGAGTCAAACTGCCAGATGTTCATTAAAATTTGTGATAATATCTAGTTAAAGAAAGTTTTGTTCCCCCCTTTTTTCACAAAAGTGACAAAAAGTGTCGCTTTTTTAATGGGAAAAATTACTTTAATTTAATTTCATTTAGTTTATTAATTTAGTTTTATACTTTAAGAAAATAAGATTTTTCATTTCTTATTTATAGGTGTGGGGTTATTCAGTCAGATAAAATTTATTTTTGTAATAAAATTATACTCTGTCTCCAGAATCTCACACGAATATTGCTGCAAAAGTATCTTACAGTTAAATTCCTTAATTTTATTGGAGTGCTTACATGATGAGGCCATTTTTTATGAAAGGGCTTTAATACTTATGAAGGAAATGTGTGCTAATGTAATTTTATTGAGTGATATTTTGATTGACAAAAAGAGACTGTAAGTGCTTAGTTGTCCTCATTAACTTTTTATGGTAAAAATTTGTGAAAGTTTCTAGTATGTACTACAAACTTTCTAGTATGTACTACAAAGTTTTGTTACATTTGTTTCTTCCAATTTAGACATTTAGACAATCTTTCCAATAAAATTATCTCATTCAGACTAATTTACAATTAGTCTGAATGAGATAATAATACTATGATACAATGTTCAATTTAGGTTTGAGAATGAAACTGTATCCATGTGAACACACACATTTCCAAATCCAGGCATTAACAGAAACTGAAATGTCCATCCAAAAAATTGTAAAACTTTTAAACATGTCTACTACTATGATAAAAAGGTCCAAAAATTATTCCAAACTAATGCTGCTGTATGGAAGGATATAAAGACATTTCCCAACAACATATCACTTATGTTGATGCAGGATGAGGCTAAATGCTATATATACAACCATGGTTGCTCTTGATTCATTTGGTTTAAAGGTTTGGAAAGACTGGCCTGAAAAAATTCTTCAGACCATAGTCCTGTTGAGCATCTTTGGGGAAGGTTAAAACAAAATGTGTTTCAAGAACCAAGACTATGAAACATTAATGAAACATCAGGTACTGGAAGACTGGAACTTGGTCATAAAATATGAAATTTATAATCTTGTCAAAAGTTTTCAGTAACATGTAAAACAAGGTCTGAAGTTGAAATTGTGAAACACTGACTATTGATGAAGTTACACTTTTTAGGAAATGGCTGTTTATTTCTGTTTTTGTGTAATTGATTCAAAGCAATAGGTTCAATTTCAATAACAGCTGTAACAGAAACTGTTGTTACACCCTGTATTTTATTCTCTCATACAGGAAATCCTCATTAGTTTGAGCTTCAAGGGACAAAATAATTATGACTGAAGTACAGTGGGCGATCAGTTAACGAACAGATCAGATAACGAACACTTTCGCGAAAGATTTTTATGTTCAGATAATGAACACCCTACAGAACAAACACAAGAAGAAGCGACGTAAAATAATGAATACCAATTGGTCTTCCCTTGTCTTCGGGCTACAATTCGAAACTTTTTGGAGTGTGGGAGACGTCAACATCGACACTCAAGCCAGTATATACCAATCGGATAGTATTCCTCTGAACTTTGAAACTCTCCCTTGTAATTCCAGCCTTTTATTTTTCTGACAAAACAATTCTTTTATGTATTTGTGAGACTGTCGGGCGGGCACTCATTAAGTTTTGCGTCTGTTTTTCTTTTCAAAAGGTGAGAGTATAATAGCAAAGGTAGAGAGTGGGCAGAAGATGCCTAATGTTGCTGGGCAGTATAGCGTGAACAGGTCTACAGTAGGCTGCAGTTCAATCTTATTTAAGAAACATACTGTATAATCAAGAAGACTCAAGCAGCTAAAGGAATAACAAAAATCACATCTGAGAAATAAAGAACATTGAAGAGCTCATAATGGAACCTGAAACAGACTGACATCAGAAGAACACTAAGAAACTCGGCGAATATGTTTTCTTCTGAAAAAAGAGGATTAATGTCGATATCTGCTATTAAAGATCTTTTGAAAAAGTGGGAGGATGTCAGAACAATGGTCTTAGAATGGCATCCAAACCAGGTTGAGGTTAATATGCTACAATTACAATGCTATTAATTATTTTTGAAAAATTCTGAAGAGAGAAAAGCAATCAACATTAGACAGATTCTTTTACCTCCACAAATGGAAAAAACATGACTAATAAAACGCAAGACTGTGTATGTATATATTTTTATTATTACATATAAATAAACATAATAAGAAAGTTTATATTTTGTATTTTGGTGGGGTCTCCAGAACAAATTAATTAAATTTCCATTAAAACCTATGGTAAATCGATAATCGGTTAACGAACAATTTGGATAGCGAACAAAGTCTTGGAACGGATTATGTTTGTTAACCGATCACCCACTGTATTGAGTTTTAAATTATCTGAGATTACATATTTTTGTAGAATATGCCAAATGCCATATAACTGATATAATTTGTTAAACAAAAGGAATATGGCTATGTATATAAATGAGGGTGTTTGTTTGTTCACTATACATTCCTAGGCCATTTGACCAATTGCTAAGGAACTCTACAGTTATGTTTACACATTTTTAACTTAGGTAATGTTGTACATTTCACCCCAAAATATCAATTGCATTTCTATAAATCAATTAATTTCTATCTACATTCGATTTGCTGATTTACGTGTAGCACTATCTATTGGCAAAAAATTTAACAAAATAATAAACTAAGCATAATTTTTAAAAAAATATATATATATTATATTCACTTAATTACTGTGACAATGATATAGCACAATTTAGATGCTCTACATCAGGGGTCACCAAACTTTTTTCTCAGCAAGGCCACATAACTATTTTGGTCAATACATTACACTGAATACACAAAAAATAAAGACAACCAACATATTTATTTACCATACCCAAACACAATCACTGCAGCACGATCATAATCTTCCTTCTTAGAAACTTCCTTGCAGGTAGTTACACAAAAAGTGCTCTGATATCCAAAGTTGATGAATTTTTTATTTTCATGATTTTCCTAAAAATTATATTGTTGGATGCAAAAATCATATTGGACCACTTCTAGCATTTATACTTGCACTTATTTTCATTTTTTCTACATAGTAAGTTTATCTACAATCTATGATATTTCCATACATATAATTTTATGTTACGTCATTTGTGGCACAGTGCGGCGGTGGGCCAGATGAACTGACCTTGCAGGCCATAGTTTGGTGACCCCTGCTCTATATCATTACTGAGACAGGTAGTCATATTTCGAACTAACCAAATTCCTTAACACAAATTCCTATATCCCAGCTGGGACAAATAGTATAGTTACAAACTAATGGAGTTTTAAACTATTCAAGTTTTAAATTAATGAGGATTTCCTGTATTTGTTTCAAATAATATGTATAAGTTAAATGATCAACAATTTTAATAGTTAATATTTATATGATTTCATTTGATATATATTACATAATATTTTAAAATATTTACAGGAAATTTAAACCAGTGACTGTTTTATCCTACATCTTAGCTGGAAGTTTTGTTTGGCTTTCTTGGTGTATATCTGACTCAAAAAGATCTACTGTATATACTATTTTAGATAGTCTGTTCATTTTTATAATTGTTGCTGTGACTATCGGTTATATCTCACATTATTTCATATATTATCACTTTAAAAACAATATTGAAGAAAATCTTAAACAGTTAAAAGAATTATCTAATACAAGCATTAACATTAATAGTTTAATAAAGAAGTTAATAAATATTGTTCAAGAAGCAGAAATTATTGCAAGAGGTTTTACATTGTAAGTAAACAAATTATTTATTATAAAATAAAGTTTCTAATAATTTTAATAAAAACATCTTTATGTTTTATTATACAACAAACAAGATTTTTATAATTATTATTGTATAATAATTCCAATTTACTTCTTATTAAAAATTTATGTAGTGTTTACTGTAGTTGTGAAAAAATTGTGGCAAATACTGTTGACAAACAGAATTTTAAAAATTATATAAAAATGAAATATAAAATTCATTGATAAAAATTGTATTTTTCAAAAATGGTCAAGATGAAATGAATTTATAGAAGCAGAATATAATTTTGAATGCAAATATAATATACTGTATAAGTCATGTATTTAATTAATGATGATGATTAAAGATAATGCAAAATTAACACTTATCAAATACATTAAACTAAATAATTAATTGAATTTATAATTTAAATATTGTTAATGAAATAAAGAAAATTATAATATGTAGGTTATTTTCATTTATTTGCTTAATTTCAAATTTAAATGTTTTACTAGAGGAATTTTCTTAACAAAAATTAAGATTTATAGTCTGTCTTTTAATTAAAATGAATATGTATGTTGATAGTTAAGCATTCTGAAGAATTTCATTTTATGCTCTCAATCTGAGATAAATTTTAACAAAAAAATTTTAATAGTCTATTAAATTTCAGAATTCCTTAGCATTTTTATGCCATGAATTTAAACTTCAAAGTTTTTATTTATCTTTTAATCAAAATTTTATTATGTCTGTCAAAATAATCAATCACTTACTAAAGAACTATAAATATTTAAAATTTTTAGGTTCATGAAAACAAAAAAAAATATTTGCTTGTTATAACAGTAGTAGTAATATACAACTTGTCCAGCTTTAATTTAAGAAATTAGACATTTTAATGTTTAATATTTTCAGTTAATTTTAATTTTTATTTTTTCCAAAACTGTAAATAAGAACTTTGTTTTTGAAATATGAAATAACATTTTTAAAACTAAAAAATTAAAATAAAGAGAATTAAATTCAATAATGGCAATAAATAAATAAATAGTTTTCTGTTTTGTTTAATTTAGCATTTTATGTGGATAAAATTTCCATATAATAATTACGTTTTATATATATTTATATTTAATATTATATTAAATATTTCCGTTTTAAATTAATATTTTAAATAACTTAGATTTTAGGGTTTATGTAAATGTTCAGTTTTATATTTTTAGTCTTTCAAATTATATTGAAGGCTGTACAAAATTTGTTACAATTTATTTTATTTATACAAACATTTTTACTATATATATGTAAATTAATGTTTTGAATTATCTTTTAAATTATTAGCTGTATGTTCAGAAAAAATTTTATTTGCATCATCTTGCATGCTCAAGGCAGCATGCAAAGCCATGCAGAGAAACCTCATAATTTTCCCTAGCCATTTTTCAGCAGTATCTGATTGCTTTTCCTTTAGTATTTCAACCAGACAAAAACCTTTCATACTGATCTTGAAATCCTCTATGACTTTGTAATTTAAACTGTCTCTCTATTTTTCGTAGGAACCAAGATAGGATTTGACCACATAAAAAAAGGAAATTGATAGTTATGGCTACTATATTATTACTACAGATTACTATAGTGTTGTGTACTTGTATTTAGCTAATATGTAGCAGAAGCAAAATACAGCTAGGTGTGATTTTTTTTTTGTTTTGTCTACACCCTGTGTATGAAAAATAAATGGGGTTACTGATTTTCAAATATTTATAAGAAAGATTTATTGCAATCTTTGTTTTAAAAAAGTAAATACTTTTAATAAATGATGAATAAAATACATTGTTTTTTAAATATATTTCTTCAGTTGAATTGCTGAATTTTTAAAGTTTTGAATATTTTTTATTAATTGTTTCATATAATTCAGATATGGGTGATATAATGTTACTTGATTGAAAACAAAATGATTTTTCAATCAGTTTATAATAGTGGTTCCCAATTAGTTTTTCCTGTGTACCACGTCAAGAAAGAGCTCAAACTCACGTACCCCTTATAGCAGAAATTCATATTAATCCATACTATTATTATAAATTCGAAGGTAATTCTGTCTGCTGTCTGTCTGTTACCTTTTCATGTCTAAACCACTGAACAGGTTTTAATAAAATTTGGCACAGAAATATCTTACATGTTGAAGATGGACATAGGCTACATTTTACTATGAGAAAATATCTTACTCCCACGAGAAAATTCGATATAATGCGGGCAAAGCTGTGGGTAGACAGCTATTGATAAATAGAATAAGTTTTTTTTTACATTTATTACCTTTAAAATACAATTCTAATAATAATGAAAATAACATAAGGTTATTTAATTTTAATGTGACAAATGTGCACAATTTTCTTTGCACAACTTTGTAAAAACTGGTTGCTTTTTGGTCAGCTTCAGTCTCAAGTCATCTTCGAGTTGAAGTCGGTGACAATCATTGGCATAGCTAGAGTTTTGTTATGGGGGCCTAGTAGAGGCCAGCCTGACACAAAATTGAATTATTTCAAATTATTGTTCATTAAAATGAAATTTCCATAGGAATCGACAATAACTTAACACAGATGTTTAGTTTTCATGTTTGTCATGGCCAAAAATCTGCTCTCGCAGAGGTATGTTGTGCAAAATGGTAGTAAATATTTTATTGCTGCTTTGCTGACATGATGATAATGATAATTGTACAATTTTTGTTTCTTGCATAAGAATTTAGGTATTATCACAAATGCATTTTTTTTTTAATGAAATTTTGAGAATATTTTTAGTTATAAATAAATGAATTTGTACATTCCACATCATGTTGTAAATTGCCAAATTTTTTAGGGTCTCCCCATTATTTTTTTGATTGCTTCATCTCATGCATTTAAATTTTAGATAGACCAATTTTAGATTGCCGCGTGTACCCCTTCATGCAATTTTGTGTACCCCAGGGGTACGCGTACCACTAATTGGGAACCATTGGTTTATAATATCAATAAGTTTCATATTTATTCAAAGTAATTTCTGTAATTTCTCCAGAGCTTCCAGCCTTTAGCAACTTCACATTATTTATTTTGATGATATTAAAAGTTGATACATTCATTTTTAAATGAAAATAACAAATATAAAACTAACACTTTTTCTCAATTGGTTCCTATGCCAAGAATAAATTAATTGAGCCTTAATTAAAATACTCTTTTATAGTGGAAATAAGAGAATTTTAGTTTTATAAATAAATAAATATTAGGAAACTTGATAGATATTTTAAATCAGTAATTTTATGTATATAAATTATTTTATTGGAAGCTATAATGAAAGTAATAAAATGAGTTTTAGAAATTATATAATTACATATAAAATAAATTTTTAGGAGTCAAAACACATATTAATAAATGTAGTTTAATTTTAGTTTTTATATTTACATTATCATAAGTGCATTTAAAACTCATAATGTGTAAAAAAATTTGTTTTTTGCATACTATAATAATATAATAATTATGATTAACATGATTGAATATGTTATAATAATTTTTATCATATAAAAAAAATTCAGTGATTTAATTTTTGTGTATTGCAGTGCTTCTTTAAAAGTTCCAGCTCAAAGATTGGAATTCTCATCAAGATCTTCTGGAATGTCAGTTAAAAGACAGTATCCTGAACTTAGAGAAAATATCTTTTGTTGGATAAGAAATATATATTACAGATATCGTCAAGCCACACTTGATTTATATCATCTATATCCTTTTTAATTATAACTTAATAATACATAAAATTTTGCATAATACTTTTTCAATATATTCATTAGAACAAACAATATAGTATATTTTTAATGTCTATAAATAAAATGTAAGCAATATATAGTTGCTTCAGTTATTTAATATTTTCAATAAGTTATATACTGTTATGATGCTATTATAAATATCTGACATCACTAGTCATAAATATGACTGATAAGGCAGAGATTAAGTCTTTCATGTTAAAATACTTTCTTCCTTGATATTTATATTATATTATGAGTTTGTTTACTTGGAGTGCACACTGACTAAAATGTAATAAAAAATTGAATTTTAGAGTTGTGTAACGTCTATCTTTGTTTATTGACATGATGATAGAGAACTTGATGGACTATGACAAAATGTCATCAATGTAAGTTTGATAAACATTATCAGCTTTTATTTCCTAGTCATTTTGATTGGCAGTTGAAAGGGTGACTTTTTCCCTCGGGATTAGTCTGGTTTACAGGTGGGTCTAAGATTGATATTGGATGATTCTTGAATTTATGGAGATATAGGTAAGAATTTTAGTATATCATTCAATGGGTTCCCATAGTACAGTAGAGCATCATTTATCTGAAAGCCGATCAACCGAAATGCCGGTTAACTGAAAGTGCTCCAGTTGGACTGTGTCGTGCTGAATCAAACGTTTTTGATACTAGATTAACTTCCAAAATATAATTTCTTTGTTTTTATCTTTTTCAATATATTTATTTTATTTGTACAAAATAAAGAAATAATTTTTAATGATATAATAGCCACGATTATTATTTTTAAAAATTTACATTAGGCTTAGCATCGACAAAAATTCAATCCAAAGCAACACGCAACTGAGAAAAATTTCAACATGGGATAGGATAATATATTTTTTCGTATGTAATTGGTTATCCAAAAAATAAGTTATCTAAAGAACCTCAGTCCCCAATTGATTCGGATAAACGACGCTCTACTGTTTTTCAAATGAAAGTATTTACTATCATCTGGTGTGTTTACACTGTTTTGAGTAGATACTTCTTTAGTGTGACATTATTTTTAGTAATCAGGCTGCTTTGAAAGAATTTTGACTCTTAAAGAACTCTGTCTTAAGTTTACATTAGCATTTATATGAAAGCATTTTTTTATTATCTGAACTGGCTGTCCACAATAATATTTTTCTCCTATGGATATGGAACCTAAGAAGAAACTTACATGCTGACTCATTGAGTAAACAGGGTGTTTCTAATTGCCTTATAGGCTTGCACCAATTTTAGGTGTTTCTTTAATTACTTTTTCTAGAGTTGTTAAAACTGGATTTTTTACCAATCATCTGACTTAGTGAAGAAAACTACTAATTTGAAGCATGGAAATTGTCTTTATTATACTGTAAGGTCTTGTTTTATGCGGATTTTTTTAATGCAATTTTTAAGTTGTGCGGTTTGTATTTCATCCAAAATTTTTTTGGACAAACATACATATAGGCTTGTTTAGGAAGCCCGCGTATAGACAGTCTCCAAAAATCGTGGGACGCTCAAAGCTCACTCCATTTGTTCCACTGACATATAACGTTTATGGATGTAAAGGACAGCTAGATCTACCTTAATCGCTTTAGTTCCTAGCAATTTTTGATATAAATGTAATTAAACATAAAAAATACTTAAAACTGAAAAAAAACAAAAGAAATGCGTTAATTTTGAAGAAAAAGCTTCAAAGTTTAACTTCCTTTGTCTTGCCCTTCTGTGAAATTTAACACCGATGAGTCAGTTTATACATCTGGATGACCTTGAACACAGCTGGAGTTGGATTTCCCGGGGCATTCTCATAAACGTCGCGGGAGGACAAGGGTTTAAAGTAGGGTGAACACTAGCTGGCCGTATATTTTTAAATATTTTTAAAAAATTTGGAGACTTAAAAAACATTCCAAAAATTCAAAAAAAAAATTTTAAAAATGGCCTTAAGGACCGTGTTTTATGAAACGCTATGTAACCTGCCCGAGTTAACTCGGGCGAGGAACTAAAGTTTTAATTAACTCTTCACATCCAGATGTTAGTGATTTATTTTTAGAGTGAGCTTTTGCAATTCGGGGATTCCCCTTGTATTACTTTTCAATAAAATAAACTGAATTAAGTTTGAATACAAGTTTATTTAAAGCTTTTATATGAATTTCTTTCAGACATTCGAAGTAATTTATTAAGCAGCCTATTTCTTTTAATTTCTGCGAACTTTTTTATGCGATTTTAAGTTAATTTTAACTCGTTGTTTTGGTTTTATGCGATTTTAGAAAATTACGGAACGTATCCCTACTTTTTCAAGGCAAGTAAAGTCTTTTTTTATGCGATTTTTTTTTATGCACTTTTCTGTAGAACGTATCCACCGCATAAAACGAGACCTTACAGTACTTATTTGATTTGAAAACTGAAGTTCTTGGTTTTGATAAATATTATTTTAATTTTTTTAAAGTTAATGTTGTGGATGGTTTCTGTCGTTTTTACAAGCATTTATTGACTACAATGTTCCTTCTCATTTTTGTGACCTCTGCATCTTAATAGTAAATTTGGAATTTTAATAGTTTTGAAATTTTTTTCAGTTTTTGAAATGGTTCATATATTTTAAATACGTTTGAATGTTAATGAACAATAAATAAGACGTTTTCAAGCATTTATTCTTAAAATCTTGTTGTTATACATAATTAAGTATATTTATATAATTACTTAGTGTAAATATACTTACATATAATTAGTAAAATTTTCATATATGAAAATGTTTTCATAAACAATATGAACATTTTCTATGTTATTTATGCACATCTTTATGGATGAATTTATATATATATATAAATTATATATATTTTATTTAAATGTATAAATACTAATTTATTGATGACAATCTGTAATTTTAGAAAATTTCAAAAAGAAAGTAATCTGCTCTCTAGCAATCTAAACTACAGTGATTTAATCTACAGTGTAATCTTAATATTAATAGAATAATATATTGCATTAGTTTTATTCATATCTTATGTAATCAATCTATTTTCACCTTCTATATAGATAATAAAAATATATGTTCATTCTGTTAATGATACAGAGATATTTTTTTATTGCAAATTGACTTTTAAAGAAAATATTGATAGAATTATTATTGTGAGGCCAGGACATCACTCCCCAATGGGAAACTAGCTGCCGAGTTAAAGCCAATAAATTGGTGAATTATTTTGTAAACATGACCAGGGCTGCAGAGGAATTGGGTGTGATACGATTTAATTGTTACATTCCCAGACCAAATTGACATGTCCCCAATTGTGGAAGGAGGGAGAGAGATCAACCGCCATCTTACACAGAGTTTAAAGTGGAAATTTGCAGACCCTCTTTTGGAGGAGGAGGTGGTTGGGACTGATTGGACCCAGCTGCGCCTTCTCTGAGTCAGAAAAACACATTACACTAAAATTTACGGGACCATCACTCAGAGAAGGGCGTGACCTGACTTCGGAGGGGAGTGGCCCAAATTGTGCCCCTGGCAACAGACCAGGGACCAATAAAGTTACAGGGGACCACCATTCAGACTAAACAAAAAGTGGGATTTTGGGTAAAAACATATAAAAGCCCGAAATATAACCTCCCCATGTCCTTGGGAGGTTATAGGAAGATGAGATCAAGAATGTGTCCCAGAAATTCAGACTAGGAGTATATAAAAGGACCCTCATCTATGAACCCTAGAATGGAAGGGATCTGGGGACCCGACTTCCCCGTAACGACTCTCCATCCCTTCAACTTCCTAGATACGCGAGAGACGAACTTTCTTTGGACCTTTTATACTGGATTGCCAGAGATGACCCTTGATACCGAATTGCCAGAGGCAAACTTTTCATCAGATTGTGTTTGACCCTGCAGAGATGGTTGTAGTGCCTCTATTTATGTAAGCATGATTTTCTATACAAATAAACATGTTCAGTTGGAAATATGATCTCTGTGTGAGTCTCTTTGTATCCTGCAACCACTACTCCCATACTTCCAAAGACTTCTCCTGTCATCCTGACTGATTGTGGGAAAAGCGAGGGTCATAACCTTTCACCTAAGGCAGACCCTAGGCGAGTGGCATTGGACAGTTTTAAAACCTTACATTATTATTCTATCAATATGATCTTTCAATATATTTCAAAATTGTGGAGATTTTGTATTTCTACAAAATCTCTACAATTCTGAAACATATATAGAACATATGAACAAAGAGCAAGTTTATATCTTATAAACTTTCTCGGCTATTTTTCAGTCTTTTTGAAAAATTTCAATACAAAATAACAGCCTAATGTAACAGCTATGTACTAGTCATTGTAACATTTGTCAGAATCAAATTTCTCATTTTTCGAATCATGGCCACCATCCTAAATTCTAAATTTCGCTAGAATTGAAATGTTATTTTCTTGGTTATTTTTTAGTTTTTTCAAAAAATTTTAATACCAAATAACAGCGTAACGTAACAGCTATGTACTAGTCATCATAACATTCGTCAGAATCGAATTTCTCGATTTACGAACAATTGCCGCCATCTTGGCGGCAAGTTTACATCTTATAAACTTGCTCTTTGTTTTTTTTTTCCCTGAAACTTTTAATCCTTGATTGATTACTGTCTTCTAGTTTGGTCAGCTCAAAATACTTTCTGTGACCATATTAATAAACATTGATTAAATATTCAGCAACAATCTCTTTTTTATTCATGCAATTATATCCATGGGGGAACTTGAAAACTCCTTACATAAACGTTTAAAATTTATATAATTTTTATGTAAAAGAAAACTGTGTCTTTTTAAATTATTGTTCTTTGTATTTTATGGGCATTCTTGTTTGTTGGAGAAATTGTTTTTTTTTTTCCCAAATGGGCGTTACTAGCAATACAATCAATCAATGCTTTATTGTATGAACCTTAGTTTGTTACAAGGGGATAACAGAAACAAAAATCAGTGATAATATTTAACAAGTTAATAATTTAGTACAAAATAACACAAAATAAAATAGAGTAATACTCAGTTTTTGAAAAGCACAATATATTAATACAGTAGAACCTCGAAAACTCAGCACTCCGGATAACTCGGCCACACCCTGGCAGGGCAAAAAATCCTTAGTTAATTAATTTTCATTTTATAGACAGCTTTATAAAAGTATAAAAGCTCTCATAAAGTATTTTTCTGAGGTCTGTCTTATCAGGTAAATTACTGTACACAGTGTATTCATTAATTTTCATTTTCATGTAGTAAAGGCTCTATGCCTTCATAAAGGATGTGCTTTTCCTTTGTTTAAGGGTATTTGGGCAGTTTATTCTCTGTTATATTCTCAAGCAAACAATACATACAAGTACAGTACAGTATTTTCTGAGGAAACACTCATACTTATTTTTTTAACCCCATTCCCGATAACCCGGCATTTTCACAAACTCGGCCACTCTTCGGTCCACATTAGGCCGAGTTTTCGAGGTTCTACTGTAATATTTTTCCAAGACTTAAACCTTACTAAATACTTGTCCCTACTAACTTTAAATTTAACACAACAAAGAAATACATGTTCCCAAGTTTCATATACTTGCATAATACAGTTACTACATATTTTTTCAGGATCTATTGTTAATCTGCTATTATATGTTAAGATATAATTTTGATCACATCTCAAATGAAGAAATAATTATTTAACATAATAATTTATATCATAAGCAAATAATCTTCACACATAAACATCATTTTAATGCTACAATATAATTGAAAGTGCTTTTTCTTTTCTAACATAGACCATACTTCTTGTATGTTTTGTTCACAGCACAGTTTTATAATTAACAGTTGATAACAATTCAATCAAATGAGGATTCTGAGATAGCCATAGAAAAGAAAAACCAAGTTGATCCAACAGATTTTTCAATGTCAACACTCAATTATATGTGCAATCATTTGTCATTGAACACAGTCTGTGAAGCATATCATATGATAGTTTAATGTAGCTTTTATCATCTGATTTTAAGGGATGTATCCAAAATAAAATTATTACTTTTATTGTAATTACCAATATTCTAGAATTCCAAACTCCAGTCACAACATGTACATTACTAGTAATACAGATATAAACATTGCATAACTCAATTCTTGATTAATACCAAATGATCTGTTATAAATACAATGGTACCTCAGGATATGAAATTAATCCGTTCTGAAACTGATATCGTATTATGAAAATGTCGTAAGGTGAATCATTTTTTCCCATATGATTACATGTAAAACCAAATAATTTGTTCCAACATGAAAAACACACTCAAATTAAAGCTAAGTAGTACATTTAAAAAAAAAAATAACTATAGTAAGGAAAACACTGAAAAATGCATTTTGTAGTTGTAAATGTATAAATAACTATAATAGAATAATAATTGATAAAAAAAAATGTAGTTTTATTTGCACTTTACCTTTGAGGATANAGCAAAAGATTCTCATTGGTTTGCATTTGTCAAATGATCTAGTATGTACTGTCAGTTACCTAGTAGATGTTTCCGAGAAAGATACTGTAAATTCAGTTTTCAAGAATAGGATCACTGTAGATAGTAAACTAGTAGAAGAAACGTATTGACCACTTGTTTTTAGACTAGTTAAAAAAAAAAATTTGTTCTGAATTATACTAAATAAAATGTACTGGATAAATTTTCATACAAATTTGTATGTTTTTAAGGCAACCAAAGCCAGGTCCAGAAATAAAAAATGTTGCATCTTTAGAGTTTATTTTATAAATACTCTCAAAATTCTCATCACCTATTATTAATCCAGAAATAATATTTTAAACTAGCTGTTACCCACGACTTTGCCCATGCAGATTTTGCAGAAAACACCATTTATATTCAGTATTTCAACAACCATAATAATTGTTATATAACACCTACTGCTGAGAATCAAACAAACTGTTTTTAATTTGATCAATTTCTGGAATGTTTACAATCATTCTATAATTGAACCAATATGCAATAATAACAAATTCGAATTTAAACGGTTTGAACATTTGGTTAAAAAATCAAAATATATAAAAACATTTATAACAATGTTTGAAAAACATAAATCTTTCTTATTGCATATACTTTAATTAATTAATAATTTAATTAGTTTCTTTTCTAGAGATAATTACAGATATCATAGACAAAGATGCTTATGATAATTATGCTTACTATATGATGTAAAAAATTAAATAATTCTATAGCAATACAAATGAACTGGGGTTGAAATACAAAATGTCCACAAAACCTTTGTACAGTTGTAAAGTATTTTTATTAGCAACTAATGTTTTCAATCTTAAACAGATCATCTTCAGGTCTGAATACACACCAAATTAAAATGAAATAGAACATACTCATTTAAAAATAGAAATAGAAGAGTCTCTATCTAAAGCTTGGCAATATTTACATGAAAAACAATTATCTCCCATAAATTGATGTTAAACATGGTTTATAAATGTGGATTATAACTGCATATTATATTTAATTTAAATGATCTTATTTTAATTTTCATAAATTTAAATTGTTTCCAATATTTTATTTTTATTGTATTTTATTTCATTTTCTATCTAACTTACATTATGTATTTGTTTATTGGTTATGTTCTATTCAGGGCTGTGGAGTCGGAGTCGGAATCAGAGTCGGATGGCAAGGAAAAGTCAGTCAGAGTCGGAGTCGGTAGATTTTTACGCAACTTCACAGCCCTGGCAGGGCTGTGGAGTCGCGTAAAAATCTACCGACTCCGACTGTCGGAGTTGGAGTCGTGGAGTTTAGGTGTTTTAGCCGGAGTCGGAGTCAGATGGTAAGGAAAAGTCGGAGTCAGAGTTGGAGTCGGTAGATTTTTACGCGACTCCACAGCCCTGGTATCGTGGAGCAAAAATATGTTTGAATTTCATGTCATATCCTGAAAATTTCGTATGCTGGGGTGTTCATATCCTGAGGTACCACTGTAATTATTAAATGGAGTCATAATATAGCCCAATACATTCTGGCAGATTGTTTAGCATTACTAGTAATTTTTGTAATTAACAAATAAAATAAAAAAGTATTAAAGGAAATAATAAATACACATCACTAATTTATATCTTCTAATTTTAATATTTATTAAAATTGGACAAGTTTGTGTAGTTGAAAGAATATTAATTCATATTATCTTAATTATAAACTGGCTTTCTCCATAAACTTTTGCATCAACTGTTCAAACCAAATCATCATTTACCACAGACAGCTAACTGCTCTGCACCTTGTCAAAGCATGTTCTCATGAGCTTTGTTGAATGTTTGATTCATTTCCTTACTCTTTCCTTACCAAAATGGCATGAATAATGATTTGTGGTAGTTTGATCATAGACCTAATCACATTTCTTGCATCTGAAAACAACAGATAACAGACCACATTTCACAATCAATAGCCCACTCAGTTGTCTTGAACATGTTAAATGCATAGGAAAAAAAAATGTACACACAATTTAATGTTCTTATAATAGCAACTTGTTGATAAGTAGTGAAGCCAAAACATGTGTGAAATCACATCTCAGTGCTGTAGCAAAAATATTCACAAATGATAATTACTTTCAAAAGACACTGATATATAAATTAATATTCATTATGATTTTTTATTTTATTTTATTTTATTAATTGATTAAATTTATAATCATAGTATTTCGAAAAAAATTTTTAATAATAATTTCTTTAACTTAGAGTCACTCTACCTCTTCAGCCATTATTACCAGTACATTCACATTATTTAGCTACTACAAGTTTAGATGAATTTGGTCCTTTGTTAAAACTTGATTTAAATAAAGAGAATGAAAAAGAACAATTGTTTGAAGTTTCAGACATGTTTTCTATTTCTTCTTTAAAGGTATGAAATGTTATAAAAATAATATGAGATATAATTATTTAAAATATAAAAATTAATCTTATTTTATGAAATTAAATATTATTAGACTACATTATGATTAAACAGAAATTAATGATTTAATGGTTAACTAAAATATAATCTTACAACTTAAATAAGATATAAGAGAAAATCTCAATAATTAATTTTATATATATTTATTGACAGAAAAGTTATGCACCAAGGAAGTATTAGAATCGAATGAATCACTTTTAGTGAAAACATAAAGTGATCACAATATTATAGCTAGAGCTGTGCTAAACCAAAAAGTTGATATCAATATCAATTAGGCTTCATACTGAGATTTCTTCAAATTATCAATAATCAATAGACTTTAATAAATACCAAAAATTATCAAATATCAGAAATTATTGATATTTTAAATAAATTCCAAACTGATAAAATAGAACTTTTATAGACAATTTTGTCTATTTGTATTGGTTATCAATAGTGATATTGGTAATTCAGTATTTGTTAATTATAATAATCAATTCCTTTCAACATAATAATTTCCATAGCTGTTGGAAAATTGCACTAGTGTGTTAAAAATTCTCAATGGGGTTGCTGCAGTTTTCACAATTTAGTTTTGTGCTTTTAATAAGATTGCCAATATTCAGAGTAACAAATTCCAAACATAGTATGAAAAAAAACACCAGTTTGAAAAAGTGATGAGCCTAAAAAAAACTTACAAACTTGAAAACATTTTTTCTTTCTCTTGATGATGATGATGATAAGACAGATGGTGAGGTGATTAAGATGTCAGCCTACCACTCTGAGAATCTAAGATTGAATCTGGGTAAGCAATCCCTGAAAGTTTCATGAACAATTTATTCGGAATATGTTGGGCCTCATCCCTTGCTACCATGCTACCCCCGTTATGGACTGACCAAATCTACAATAGATATAATTAAAACAAGTTCTCTTAGTGCTCACAGGAGAGAAAGAGAGAAAAATGAGAGAAATAAATGCAAACTGGCAAGAACAAAAATAACTCAGATTACAATTAACAGTGTCAACTTCTCATGAGGAAAAAGAGACAAGCTAAAAGAAAAACACATAACTCCTTATTTATTTTTCAGAGAATTTCTAAACAATTTTTTAAAAATAACTAAAATTCTATAAAGTTCAGAAAATTCTGAACAGTTGGCAATTCTAGATGATAATAAATATATCAAACCAAAACTATTAAATGTTTACAATATCAATATTCTAAAATCTAGAATATTGATATTAATATTTGATATTTATTTATAATATTGATATTGGAAACATTTATCAGTTTTGGTTTGATACATTGGTTATCAGCTCAGCACTAATCATAGCAAAGGAACTATTTCCAGTGAAACAATGATACAGTTTAAAGGAATCTTTAGTATTTTATAAGAGTGCTTATTGTCTACATACATGTACCAATATGGTCAAGCATGGCAGTATACACTATCCTCAGACAGATTTTACCACAGATGATGCAAGTGCCACGATTCAGATTGCTCGCTCACAGATAGTCAAAACCAACATCTCATCTAGTCCCATAATGCTCAATGGGTATAACCCATTGTTATTTGTGGGACCTTTGTGGAATCTGGAGACAGGGCAGGACAAGGTAGTAGAGCAACATGATATAGACAATCCTGGGAAACCCTAGCTGTGTGGCCAAGCATTATCTTGTTGAAAAATGATTGTTTGCAGCTCTACCAAGAAAGGCAACACATAGAGGGTGCAGAATTTCTTAAACATACTGTCGTGCCATCAGTTTCCCTCACACCACTACTAGGAGTGATTGACTGTCATATGAGAATGACTCCCCAGAATAGCATACAAGAAATGAGGGCAGTAAAGACAGGATTGAAGTGTTCTTCACACCAGTGGTCCTTCACACACTAAATCAATGATTGTCTATTCTCAAACAGAATCAGGATTTATTACTAGAAATGATATGCTGTCAGTTCATAGTAGACCATGCTTCTGTCATAGCACTAGTGTAAACAAAGTAATGATGTTGGATGTTGACATGCTAATGGAAGGATATATAGTAGTCACTGTTCATGCAAATTTGTCTCTACTATATTCTGCCAATGATGCAAGAAGAGACAAGTTTCTATAGTGAGCATGCTTCCATCTGTCTTTGGATGGTGAACAAAGACATCATTTCAGCTGTTTGTGTTTATGTTATGATCAGATGATGATCTTTTCTGATGGTTTATTTGGGATGTTCAGACCTGCTCTCTGTGTATGTCCTGGCATATTCACTGGCCTAACACCTNTGCGTTTTTGATTGCATTTTAATAGGGTACGTCAAGAGAATGTACACTAAGACGGGATTTTTCGAAAAATTCCCCCCCACGGGGGAAGTGTTATACATTTATAATAGCGGGTCTGCTAGTTAAAAATAAATTTCAGTTTGAATTACTGAACTGGTCTTGTGATTATTGTATTTTCTAAGAACATTTAAAACAATTAAACATGTTTTTAAGTTCAAATTGATTATTTTATATTTTAAATTGTTTTGCCTCTTTGCAACAGATAAATTGTAACAGATAACAGATATTTAATAAAGGAACAGAAAAATGAAATATTCAGAAATTTTTCTCTGGATTAAAAAAAAAAAATTAGGTTGCTAAGACAAAACTGAAAATAAGATTTACTAATGATTATATTTATCTATATTAGCATTAAATGATTAATATTACATTGTTTTAAAATTAATTTATTGTCTTAAATAATCAATTATTCTCAATCATTAAAACTTTTGTTTTTAGTCTATCTTTCAGTTGATGGAAGTTCAACAATCAGAATTTTATCGTTTATTTTCATTGGGATTTATTCCAGATGCTCTAGTAGAAATGAAACAGGATCCATTATTTGGTAAAAAGAATTTAAATAATGTAATATCTGATAGAAGTATTATACATTTAAAAAAGTTTTAATTGAATTTTACAGCACTAAAGACATTCTCACAGTTAATACCATTTATTAAACAGTTACTAGATGATGATGATAAAACTCTTTCCTTACTAAATTCAGCATTTAATTATTATAAAAGCTTAGAGATATCAAATCTCTTATCTGATGAAAGAAATTTACCAAATAAATTAAAGAATTCTCCATATTCTACAATGTGATGTTTAATGTGATGATTAAAAACTGCAGAAAGGAAAAGGCTATAGCTTTTTCCTTTCTGCAGTTTTTAGTCATCACAATGTATTTAAGGTTTAAAGTTGAAATGGTAGTATTCATTACAAATTTTGAAAAGATTGATTCTTGATCTCTTTATATGATATATATGAGATAGGATCAATTTTTAAAAATATTATTATTATTATTATAATTTGGATCTATAAATGCATTTTTTTTAAATGTGTCAGTTTCAATCAAATTTTTAAAATATCTTACAAAGATGATAGGAAGGCTAGATGCAGAATCACTCAATCATTTTGAGTTTTAAAGTGGATTGAACAGAATAAATGATGATGCTTGACAATTTGAAAATTATCTTTCGTTTACCTATATTTTTACATTCGTAAGATGTTGACTTTTAATATTCTGTGTTAATAACATAGAATATAATATTTTCTAAGTTGTCTTACAAAGGGAGGTTATGGTATGGTCCTCAGGGATTTCAATAATATTGCTTTGTGATAAGCCTTGGTGTGAACTTTTATTGAGCAAATGGAGAAAGCACACTTCTCAAATATTTTCAAGAAAATCAAAGTTAAAAATTTCCTAGCAACTTATAAGTAAGTTTTGCAGAATCTTTCATTGAAAACCACATGGTTTAGCTGCAGTATGTGTTACTTATGTTTGTGAAATCATTGATTCATGTCTCAATGAGTGAACTTTTTTTGCCAAGTCAATGCAGTTTTTATATAAAATAATTGTAAATTACATGGGTTTATATATATAATTTACAATTATTCACTGAGGACCACATCATAATCTCACTTTTAGATAAAATATTTGAATGAGAAAAACTGAAAATTATCTTATTTTTATTTAAGTGAAATAGTCTATTAGTAATGGTAAAAATTAATATTTACTATTACTGACAAATTATTATATACAAAGTGATGACTCTTTACCTACAGTGACTAAACTAATTAAACTTTTTTAAATCTATACAAATATTATAAAGAGGTAAAGTTTGTAAGTTTGGATATAGGAGGTAATCTCCGAAACTACTCATCCAATTTCAAAAATTATTTCGCCAATATTTAGAATGGAACTTCAGGGTGGACATAGGCTGTATATTATTCCATTAAACATTCATATAAATTAAAAGATATCATCTAGGATTAAGGCTTTTATGTCAAACAGATGGTGCTAACTCCACAAGTACGACGACCTAAGTCTGTTTTTCTGTGACGATGAACTAAAGCAGGTCATCTTCTATCTACCTATATAAATAAAAATGTAATGTCGGTTTATTCCTACCAATTCCTTTGAAATTTTGACACAATGTTGCATTCGAATACGCATGTGTTTTTATATAATATATATGTTGAAATCCTCCCACAGGGGGAGATGGACAGGATTAAGGCTTACCATGAACAACTCTGCTTCTATTTATACTATTTTAGATACTGTTTTTTGCGTTTTTGATTGCATTTTAATAGGGTACGTCAAGAGAATGTACACTCCCCCCCACGGGGGAAGTGTTATACATTTATAATAGCGGGTCTGCTAGTTAAAAATAAATTTCAGTTTGAATTACTGAACTGGTCTTGTGATTATTGTATTTTCTAAGAACATTTAAAACAATTAAACATGTTTTTAAGTTCAAATTGATTATTTTATATTTTAAATTGTTTTGCCTCTTTGCAACAGATAAATTGTAACAGATAACAGATATTTAATAAAGGAACAGAAAAATGAAATATTCAGAAATTTTTCTCTGGATTAAAAAAAAAAATTAGGTTGCTAAGACAAAACTGAAAATAAGATTTACTAATGATTATATTTATCTATATTAGCATTAAATGATTAATATTACATTGTTTTAAAATTAATTTATTGTCTTAAATAATCAATTATTCTCAATCATTAAAACTTTTGTTTTTAGTCTATCTTTCAGTTGATGGAAGTTCAACAATCAGAATTTTATCGTTTATTTTCATTGGGATTTATTCCAGATGCTCTAGTAGAAATGAAACAGGATCCATTATTTGGTAAAAAGAATTTAAATAATGTAATATCTGATAGAAGTATTATACATTTAAAAAAGTTTTAATTGAATTTTACAGCACTAAAGACATTCTCACAGTTAATACCATTTATTAAACAGTTACTAGATGATGATGATAAAACTCTTTCCTTACTAAATTCAGCATTTAATTATTATAAAAGCTTAGAGATATCAAATCTCTTATCTGATGAAAGAAATTTACCAAATAAATTAAAGAATTCTCCATATTCTACAATTAATCTTGCTATTCATAGTCTAAATCTTCACTTAAGAGCTGCTTTGAAAAGGTAAATACTTATATATCATTATTAGGCCTTTTTAATATTCCTATATATTTTAAATTTACATTATATTTATTTAATAGTAAAGAAATTATATAGATATATGTACTGTACATAACAATTCTATAATTACTGTCATAGTAAAATTTAGAGCAGACAACTTGCTTGCAAATGATAATGAAGTTTATTAAATGGATTAATGAAGCAAATAAATAGAAATAATTAAACTTTTAAATGCAAAAAAAAAATGAATCTACAAAAGAAAAGCAAAATCACAGTTTACTCTCTGGAACAGTTTAGTTACATAAGCATTCCTCTATTCAAACAGTTTTTTTTTTATTAACTTTTGTGAGAATATGGAGTTGAGAGATTATATTATTGAAAAATTTATTTAAATTTATTTATTTTTAGCTAAATAAAAATAACAATGTAAATTTAGACATTTCATTAATTAAATAATGAGCAATTTCAAATTCACATTTACCATCTAATATGCAAAATTTTAGTTTTAAATGTCTAAAATCTACAAATTATTTCAAACATTTTGTTTGTTTTCCTATTTTTTTAAAAAAATGATTTTCAGATTGAACAATTAGGCCATTTATTGTTAGATTCAATAACCATTGTTGAATCTAACAATATAATATAAACAAAAATTCACATATAAACAAAAAATCTAAATTTCATACATATATAGAAAGATCATCATTTCCCAATGAATACTTACTCCTTTAAATACAGTTATGATAATATTTATTACTGGTGTTTATAACAATGTGCATCACAATAATTGTTATTAATTTTCGATAGAAACTTACCTATCAAAATTTTTATTAAAGTTGAAAAAGGAATTTCCTTTTTCTCTAGAGGAAAGCCATTTAGTTCCTCCAAAAATGATAGCTAAAGTGCAATGTCTCTCTCTCTCTCTAGAGTGCAATGACTTCTGTTGTGCAGCAGAATTGTAGAGAACTTTTTGTAATAATTCTATTGTATGGGATTTTCTATGAAAGGTAAGAATTCATCTTAAAACTTGTTCTTGCTAAAGCTTTTGCCAATGCTTCAGCCAATACTCTCGTCCCTCTCCCAGTTCTCTACTATGGCTTGTTCCCAAGAACTCTCAACTCTCTATGTAGAGCATGCATGTACTAATATAATTTTATTATGTAAATTCTCTCTCATCAGGGATAAATTTAGTAGGTTGGAATTTGATGTTATCTTATAGAAATATCAAAACCAAACATTTTTTATTTTATTCTTATTATAGTTTTTGAATTTCCATTTAATACATATATATGATATAGTTCTTGCATAAATAAATATATAGATATATTCTTAATTGTTGTACTATTTAATTAATGCCTAACTCCATCGTCGGCCCACATAATTCACTAATTCACATATCCCATGTTATTTAACATATTTAAATTAAACCATCCTAAAATTCTGGTCAAGTTTTTAAAATACTTTTTCCACTCAGAAAAGAACCAACTCACTAGCTAGGATGTGAAATAATAATTTATCTTAACTGATGTCAGGACTCTTATAAAGAAGGATTTCACAGATCTTTCTTCTTTATTTAATTTCCATTCTGTATGTGGGATGGGGTTGGCCCAGAGTCCCCGCTTTTCACAGATTTGTATGACCTCCTCTGCTTCATGGCATTATTAATTATAATTGATGCAGTAAATCTTGTTTAAAATTTCATTTTGCATAAATTTTATTATGAACATAATTACAGTTATATTCAATAGAAATTAATGAAAAAGTTTTTAATTTTTAAAATTTAATTTACATTATATAACATTATATCCATTGTTACTGTATGTAAAATTATTTTATATATATTATTTTAATTATAACAGTTACAGCTTGTGCTAGACTTTTGTGAATACTTAATTTAAAACTATTACAATGAGAAATAATTTATCACATTAATGAAATTGTTCTACAGGTTGCCTTCATTTTTTGCCACTTAACAAAATAATGCTTGTTTCAAATTTTCTCCAAAAAACTCAACAAATTTTTTTTTCATAATGTGCAGAATATTTTTTGCAAATGTAGAAGAATTAGCAAATTTGATAGAGCATTTAGATGCACAAAGAAAGGAGGAAATGAATGATGATAATCAGTGTGTTATAAAGGTATTAACTACTGATGCCCTTAAGTAATTTCTAATTCCAACTCATTGATAAAAAAATGTTGCAAAGTGGACTCTCATTAGGAATTAAGTGACTTTGTAAGAATTAGTTTAAATGAAGTCTTAGTACCTTATGAAATTCTGAAGAAGAGGAAAAGAAAGACACAACAAACAATTTTAGATTTTTTTATAATGTTTTATGAAAGTACATGATTCTCAGTCTAACTTATCATTGATGGATGACCCTTAACTAGGGTCATCCATCAATGATAAGTTAGATCTGTTCTGTGATGACAAGTTATATCAGTTCTGTGATGATGACCCTTAACTAGGGTTATCATCACAGAACTGAAGTTGTATGCATTGACACTGCTGTATGAGATAAACACAGTGATGGTATAAAAATTGCATCATTGATTTCAGTTATAAAGAAATAATAATAATACAGAAATTATAACTTATTATTCTTACTGTGTATCATTCTTGAATCGTGTCCAGTATCCAATCTCACAGATGGGCTTAACGGCCAAGCCTCTGAGACAGTATGAAACCTTAAACAGTTTGAAGAAATTTTCTGACAGTATGGCAAGTTACCAGCTTTTTGTAAAGATCTATATAAATTTGAGTGAATGTGTATTGTATTCAAGCTTTTAGGTAACAAATGAGGGATAATTCCTGTGGACTTTATTCATTTTCTATAGGTGTTTTATTTCTTGAGAGTTCAGTATATTTACTTAGTTTTTCTGTACAGCTATTTTGTACATTGTGTGTTTGGCATAGTGATGTCAATGATATAAGTTAAAATTAGTTTAGTTTTGTGCACTTTCTCAATGATGTTGATGATATTATTTTGTGTTTGTAAAAGATTCAGTATTAAATCTGTTATTGAAAAATATATACACTGTACAAAACAGTAGAGCATCGATTATCCGACCCCCCTATCAACCGTCACATTGGTTAACCGACCACATTCTAGTTGACAAATTCAAATGTCCGCTAGTGATGTGGCGCTACAATATTTGACTATGTCTTGGCTACTTTAATATTATTTTTGTTAAATTTTTGCATGTTTTAGCTGGCAACACTGGCTCAACCATGAAAGGGAGGCCAGTATTTAAACGAGGCTTAATTTTCTAATTCTGAGTGGTTGTTTGTTTTGTGAGCAATAAAATAATTTAAAAATAATTTTTAATGATACAATAGCGACGATTATTATTTTTAAAAAAGTTTTGTTAGGCTTAACATCAATGAAAATTCAACGTGAAGTAGGTTAATAGCGATATACTATACTAATAATGTATTTTTTCATACTTTTCGGTTATCCGACCAACCCCAGTTACCAATTGAGTCAGATAGTTGATGCTCTACTGTATATTCATTCATGGATGCCTGGAACACATCTCTATTTATTCCATAATAAAATGGATTTATTTTGCACCAATTTTGTTTTTGCTGCCTCCTCCTGAAATATCACTGGCATAAAATGAGGCCATCCTTTACTATATGCAGTAGAACGTCGATTATTTGAATGCCGATCAACCAAAACATTGGTTAACTGAAAGCATTTCAGTCAGACTGTGTTGTGCTGAATCAAATGTTTTTGATACTAGATTAACTTCTAAAGTATAATTTCTTTTGTTTTTATATTTTTCAATATTTATTTTGTTTGTACAGAATAAAGAAATAATTTTTAACAATACAATAGCCATGATTATTAGAGAGGTTGCGGCCGACGTTTTCAACACAAAACCATGTACGTAGGACTTCGTCACCGCCTTCCTGTAAGCCTAGAAGTTTGACAATGGCATTTTGAATGTTGAGCATGATTCCACTGATGTTCCAAATGTCATTGTCAAACTTCTAGGCTTACAGGAAGGCAGCGCTGAACATCCGATGTACATGTTTTTGCGTTGAAAACGTTGCCCGCAACCTCTCTATTATAAAAATTTTTGTTAGGCTTAACATCGACAAAAATTCAACGTGAAGCGACACACAACAGAGAAAAATTTAAACATGGGATATATTAATATACTGTTATTGGGATATACTTATATACTATATTAATAATGTATTTTTTTGTACATAATCGGTTATTTGAAAAATCGATTTTCTAAACAACCCTAGTCCTCAATTGATTTGGATAATCGATGCTCTACTGTAATATCATAACGTAAATTGGCATTAACTCAATTATTTTCAATGTTTGGAGGAAGGCAATCATAATGATTTATACATCTCATTTCTGTGTAAGTTATGATGGATATTGATAGAATAGTAATTTTTTTACACTAAATGAAATGATAAGTATTTAAAATTTTCAGATATTTATAGTGACAATATTAAGCATAATGCAATTGATTATAAAAATTGTTCAAGTACAAATGAATATTACTTTTAAATAACAATTTTATTTCATTAGAGTTTGGGATGCAGAATTGTTAATGGAACAAATTGAACAAGATGTGAATGAAGAAACAAGATCACAGATTGATGCAGTTTTAAATCCTTGTCTGAATGAAGTAAAATCTGAATTAGATGCAGGTAAAGAATGCTTAGCTGAAACTGAAGAACAACTAAATCTTTTAACAGGAAGAAAATTGCCAGGTAAAATTTTTATTCGCTTATGTTGAGAAAAGAATATAAAATGTGATTTTTCAATATATTCTGAATTTTATATTTTTCTAATTAAAGATAATAAGAAAGTAAATAAAAATTATTTATTATCCTTCCTTGATAAATTATAATAAAATATAAACAATCATTATTTATTTTCCACATGATTTTATTGAAAAAACAAATTTTTTCAATTGGGGGTTGCATTACCAACATTATTGTAATTCCTTTTCTATTAGCAATACTTGTGTTGTAATGAAAGCTAACTATAGTCCACATAAGATAAATATTTGATTGACATTTCTTTGTTTACATAACCATGATGCCTTTAAATAAGAATTGCTTTATGATTTGTATTTTAAATGTTCTAATTGTTCAAAATATTTTATTCTAAAAAATTTCTTTTGAAGAACTTTATTATAGAAATTTCTGAAAATTGTAAATTAATGATTTAAGAAAAGTAACTGTGCCACCAGGGTACTAATTTTCAATTGCATTTTGTGTTCCGGTTGAGTGGGGAAAGGTGAATATGAAGAAAGTGTAGATGTTGCCAGTATCTAGTGGACTAGTAGATGCTAGTAGAAATGGGAAGTAATAAATGGATGCAGGTAATCTGAAGTCACAAACAGAAATTACATTGATCTGTGGGCATTATGTTGTTTTGTGTTTGAAAAGTCAAGAGGTGAATTCATGTCAACCTCTTCTTATTTTTTGTAATTGCAGTGTACAAATGTAAGAGCTAAGTACATAAAAGGCATTTGAGTTATTAATTTCATAATTTACTTTTTACTTTAATAAATATTATTTATAGCACTCAAAATAGAATCTTCTTGGAAATATTTCAAACATGTAAATGGTGCTAGAATATGTCAAATTAATGATTTAAGAAAATAAATTAAAGCAGCTGGTGGCAGTACAAATGAGTTGCATACTCATTTAAGAACTATTCACAGCATAAATTTATTAAAAAGGGACTGAGGTAATTCTAAAGATGAAAATTTAGTTAAAAGTTCAGATATTCACAATAGTGGAAAGTTGACTGTCTTTTTTCAAAAAGAAAATTGATGATTAACAGTAATTATTTCTCACACAACAGCTAGGCATTGTCTTCTATTCTCTAAAATCTATATGTCTTATGATATTTGCTGCTTTCTAAAGTCTAAAGGCTAAGTAAATATTCCAATGTCTTCAAGTACAATTAGAGAATAGTATTGGTTTATGCTAAAAATTCAAAAATGAATTTTGTGAGAAATATTTTCTTGTAAGAAAAATGCAGCTTCATTTAGCATAACATTAAGTGAATGGACATCAATAAAATCTCACTGATAAATATAAATGTGCATAGAATGAATAAATTATGGAATCTTGGTCTAGCGAGTTAATGCCTTTCTGTTAGCATTTTTTATTAAGAAATATTTGAAGCTAAGTTAGCAATGTTCAGTATTTGTTGCAAAGACATGTTGGTATTACCACAGGTAGAGTTGCAGTAATGAAGAAAAATTTGTTCATTTATTGCCATTGATTTATCAGTCATGTCTCAACAGGCTGTTGTCAAAGATCTTTACAGTTATATCTCCATGAATTGAAGAGGAAGATATCATGGATTCTGCAGATGATATTTTGAATGAAAAAATTAAAATCTTATAAAAAGTTTGCAGAGGCTCATCATATTCATAATTTTTAGTATGTCCATTGTTTTGAGATCTTTGAATGCCAGACATGCCTATACAATAGTCAAAGTCAGTATGCATAGCTGATAGAGTTTGACAGAAGACCACATTGTCAGGTTGATGGAAATAAGATGGCTGTTTTCTCACTATCTGGGCTGTTCTAACCAGAATGTGAGGTGGTGTTGGGCCAGTGAATATGCCAGGACATACACTCACAGAGAGCAGGTCTGAACATCTCAAATAAACCATCAGAAAAGATCATCATCTGATCATAACATAAACACAAACAGCTGAAATGATGTCTTTGTTCACCATCCAAAGACAGATGGAAGCATGCTCACTATAGAAACTTGTCTCTTCTTGCATCATTGGCAGGATATAGTAGAAACAAATTTGCATGCACAGTGACCGCTATATATCCTTCCATTAGCATGTCAACATCCAACATCATTACTTTGTTTACACTAGTGCTATGACAGAAGCATGGTCTACTATGAACTGACAGCATATCATTTCTAGTAATAAATCCTGATTCTGTTTGAGAATAGACAATCATTGATTTAGTGTGTGAAGGACCACTGGTGTGAAGAACACTTCAATCCTGTCTTTACTGCCCTCATTTCTAGTATGCTATTCTGGGGAGCCATTCTCATATGACAGTCAGTCACCCCTAGTAGTGGTGTGAGGGAAACTGATGGCACGACAGTATGTTTAAGAAATTCTGCACACTCTATGTGTTGCCTTTCTTGGTAGAGCTGCAAACAATCATTTTTCAGCAAGATAATGCTTGGCCACACATAGCTAGGAGTTCTCACAAATGTCTGTCATATAGCTTTACTTCCTAGGCCTACTCTTCAGATATGTCATCCATCAAGCATTTGTGAAACCAAATGAGAACTAGAATGGCCATCTATAATTGTGAGCAATCTAAACTGGCACTTGCATCATCTGTTGTAAGATCTGTTGCAGGATATTATATAGTTCCTGTATGCCTTCGTGCTTGATTGTAAAAGCTCTTATTGTCTAGATACATGCAACAATACAAAGTGCTAAAGGTTCCTTTAAATTTTTCTTTAAATTTGTTCTCTTTCTTTGATATTGTAATTGCTTATTACTATTATTACATTTGAACTTATTACCATTGTCATAATAATTCACACTGATTTCATTCAATTCAAACACATCATTCTTGGTGAATAGCTTTTTTTGCCAAAGATTGTATATGTATAAAAATAGAGAGCCATTAACATTCATGTCGCCATTTTAATTCTCATGACAAATAAATATGAATTAAGAACAAAAGCTTTTAAAAGAGTCAAAAGTATTTTAAATTCTCAGTTTAATTGATATAAACAATAAAATAGCCCAAAAATAAACAGTATTAACACACTGACATCAATTTATGGTAAAGCAAAAGAAATAATGTTTACATAACAGATATTTTGGATAAACTGAATATTTAAACCAAATTAAGATTTTGATGTTTTAAATATAATCTAAACTATTATAGTATAATCTTCATATTTGTGCATTTCATATATTTGCAACCAATTTTTTGTATTTGCAAATCTAAAATTTGCTTTGTTGAAGGATTAATAAAAGTAATGAAATAACAGTTAAAGAGCATTAAACAATTTTTAATGCCTTTATCTTAAACATATTGTTTACTGTTAGACCATATTAGTATATATTGTTTGATAATTTCTTGAATTATTTTATATAACTATACACAAACTTCTGATACAAATCAGAAGCCACATTATTTCAATTCAAAACTTTTCCCCAGAAAGTAGTTAATAGATGACTGGCACAACTCTATTGTTAAAAGAAAAGTATGATGTACAGGGGCAAGCACTATTAATTTGAGATGGAGAGCATATATTTTAAATTAAATAAATTATAATAATATGATTAAAAATTGTAGCCCAGTATTGTGACAATGTCATAACAAATAATTGCTTGTTACATATTAAATTTTATATACACTTTAAATTGCTTAATTCTAATTACTTGGTACAGTAGAGTCCCGAAAACTCGGCCTAATGTGGACCGAAGGGTGGCCGAGTTTGTGAAAATGCCAAGTTATCGGGAATGGGGTTAAAAAAATAAGTACGAGTGTGGAGTCCTCAGAAAATACTGTACTGTACTTGTATGTATTGTTTGCTTGAGAATACAACAAAGAATAAACTGCCCAAATACCCTTAAACAAAGGAAAAGTACGTACTTTATGAAGGCATAGAGCCATTACTACATGAAAATGAAAATTAATGAATACACAGTGTACAGTAATTTACCGGATAAGACAGACCTCAGAAAAATACTTTATGAAACATAAATCTGTCTATAATGAAAATGAACTAGGGGTTTTTTCGTCCTACCAGTGTGTGGCTGAGTTATCTGGACTGCTGGGTTATCGAGTGCCGAGTTTTCAGGACTCTACTGTAATATTAAATCAAATACTTTAAATATTTTAGATTTATTTTATAAGTTAAATTAATTATAATTATAATTAATTTATTTATGTTTATTGTATTAAGATGTTGAAAGTTTTACAATAAATTTGTAAATTTATTGTCTAAATAAATACAAAATAAAAAATGTAATCAATATTTTTATTTTGCAGTAGATAATTTACACATTATTCCTCCAACAAAATGCCATTTTCCAGAACAAGAATGCAAAATTACTCATTTAATTGAGTTAGATGAACCTGTTATACATGATCAGGTAGTTAAAAATTATGTTCAAAATAAACTATAACTATTTAAATAAATGTTTGTTTTCAAATATTGAGTGTAATATTGACATTTAAGTCAATTCAAGTCAGAGTCTGTATTTGTGATACAAGACTAGGTCATAAATACAAGAATCACAGAAAGCACATTTGAAAAGACATGACACTTTAAAATGATACTTGTAAGAAATGCCACATTGTATACAAAACTACATAACATGTCATGTCTGAATAGGATACAGATTTTATCTTAATTAATATAAAATGAGTTTCAGTTCAATAGAGCTAAAACATGAAGAAAATAAATTCAAACTGTAATGACATTGTTTTTAGTTCTGGTTTAGGTTTTCAATAATGTGGCAGAATGTAAGAGTTTTATTTATAATGTACAGTGTTTATACAATCAAAAAGGATTATTGTTGACAAACTAGATTCATCTTCACGAAACTGAATTAACATGTTGTGTGCTTGAATTTGGTCTTACCTTTTTAAAATTTTTCATAATTTCATTCAGTGCCATACTTGACATCACTATTTAATAGATCTTAAGCAGATTAAAAGGAATGAATCGGGTTGTGCAACAAGTTCAAAATTTTTATTTGTGGCAATCTAACTGAGGTTATGGAAGAAGAAATTACAAAAGAACTTTGCAGTGAGGAACTTTAGAAAAGTTTTCTCCAATGACTTTTTGATAGACCTAGAGTTCAGAAGTCATTTTGTTCAGTTTTTTTTTTTTTGGAAGAAATTGGAAAATTTGGTACCATAAACTTGCACACTACATCAACTACTCATGCATGCATTGCTCCAACCTGTCTTGATGTCTGTACTGCTCTCATTCTTTTCTTGACAATCCCTGTGAGAACAGAAATAATAGAGATTGTTCTCAAAGCTAAAAATAATTAAAACATATTTATGAAACACACTTTTTCAGGAGAGGCTATGGAGCTTATCTCTTTTCTGCATTGAGTCAACCTGAGCTAAAAAACTAGATGTAGAAATTATATCATCTATTAATATATTTGCAGCTGCCAAAGCTTGAAGAAAGTGTTTGTAATGTTAACTAAGGATACTTTTCTTTGAGCATTGTCTTCATCTTCTGACATTTTTTTAATGTTTGTTTAATCATTCAGAATCAGTGAAACATTATATGTTGATGTTAGTTTGGTTATTTTGTTTTATTTCTTCCTTTTCCTTACATTATTTCAAAATGTACAGCTATCAGAAAAGTCAGGCTTCTATACTTCAGTTGCAGCAATTATATTTCGTTTTTTAAATAAACTTTGATTAATTCATTTCTTTATTATTTTGTTTCTTTGTTGTAAATAAAAATATTAAATCCCAGTATTATCATTATGGAAATTTTCATTATACTTACATGAATCAAATGTCTCTGATCCACTAACCTTTAATTCTTTAGCTCTGAAAATTTCTTCTTTCTCTGTACCTGGAGACAAAATTGTTTTACTCCTCAGACTACAAAGGGAATTTGTATAGCAAAACCAGTCAAACAACTTTCCCTTCAACCAATTTCATTGTGAATGGATTAAGCCAATTTTGACCAATTTCATGTTTAAAGAGCTAAATATAGGCTTTTGCAGACTAAGCTAACTTCTAATTCTAGTACTTACGAAACCATGCCATAATTGTTACCAACTTCTAATGTCGATGCAAATTGCAAATAACCAAATTTTGAAACACAGACCAGTATAGGAAAAATTTAAGTTTCCAATTCAAACTTTTATTGAGAGTAAGTTATTCATGTTATCATAAATATTATCATTAAACAATTAGTCTACAAGTACTTTTGAAGTTGGAACTGAGCAGCTGAGCTTCAAGTAGCTTTAGAGTTAGGTAATGTGACTCATTTGGTCATATAAATCATAAGAAGAAACATAATCCATTTGTGAAACTGGCATGAGTGATCTACAAGTATGCAGCCACTGTGACTGGGAGAGGGTGGGGTGGATGGAGGAAGAACAATTTCGAAGTGTAATTACAGTACAGTTGGAAAAAGGACCTTTATTGCCACATTTGCACAGATACCAAAAATTTGAAACTGCACTGCTAGCAGCAAACAAAAAAATTTTCATAATTTTTAAAACACTTAATAATTTTACACAATGGAAAAATTGTTTGATGAGCTTGTAATTGCAATTTAAAATTGTTAGATCTTACTTTCAAATTGACATTAAAAAACACATAACAATTACTTGCAGAAAATGACACTATTTTTTAATTTTTACTTATCATTAGTTGTAATGTATCATTGAAATTATTTTTTATTATGTTTTTAAAAATGTAAAATGTTAATTTTATTGTTAATGTGCAATTTGTAATATTCAAATGTTAGTGTATATTTTATTATTACAATATTCAAATTAATTATTTTCTTGAAGTTTTTAGAAAATTTTCAGATTTTTAAAAGTTTTGGTTTAATTATAGGTATTTGAAGCATATACAGATAGAATAGAAATGGGGAGATCTGAATTGGAAGATAATGAAATATATACAAAAGAAGAGAAGGTAATAATTATACTGTGTATAATCAAAAATAAATTCATTTGAGATGTTTTCTAATAAAAATTAATTTTTGGGTTATATAGATAAGAATACAGAAAGAAAGAGAAGCTTCTGTGCACCTGCTGAAAGAATTAAGATCAGTTCTTGTAACAAAAGCTGAAGAACATAAGTTAAGAGAAGAAAAGGCTTTAGGCATTGTTCAAGTCAAAAAATTAAATCTTACAGAAATAGAACAGTCTGAATTGAGTAAAAGTTTACAGCATACAAAAGAAAAAGTACATTCTGAAGATCAAATGTTAGAAGAAAATAGTAGTGAAGGATCACATCAAGGAAATCACACAGATAAAAGTATTGAAACTTTGAAAGAAAATGATGAAATTGAAAGATGGGAGCTATTAACTGAAAAGGAATTAAATTCATCTGAAAGTGATAAAAATGATGACAAATCAAAAAGTGAAAATGGTGATGATAATAATAAACATGAAGTTAAAAATAATGAAACATCTATAGATGTTAATTATACTAGTGTAGATGCTTCATTTGCTTCTTCAGTTGCTGCACTTGCTGCTGCAAGATGTAGAAATTTAGGACTTCAAATGCAAACATTTTCAACAAAAGAAACTGAAGAGTGCTATGGTGATGGTGGTGATGATGATGGTGATGATAGCAATTAATTACAGAAAAAATATACATATTTCATATTTAATATATACAATTTTATAGAAAAATACCTTTGAAAATTTCAAAATTTTAAAAATATTTTCATATAAAAGCAATATTGTACACTAAAGCAATGTTAATTAAACTAAAGCCCAAAACAAATTTTAAGAATTAACATGAAATTATATTTTATTTATTAGTCAATAAATATTATTTTATTAACTGTTTCATAAATTTTTTATAGTTTGTTAAAATGATCAAATTGCTGTGATGAATTATGATGCTTTAGAATTTTAGACTTCCCGGGTGAACAAAACAATCATAAGGAATCATGTCACTGAGTTTATGCAAGGTATTCATCCCTAAAGGTTTGGTTATGTCATTCCAGTTAGTTTAGACACAACCACAAAAGGGACACCAATTTTTTTCAGTTGTGGCTGAATAGCTGAGCCCATGATGGGTATTAGTGCTATAAGGTAGAGAGAAGTTTCAAAAAAACAAAAAAAAATCCAAATTGTTGTGAAAAAATTTAATAGGATTGGAAATAATTAAAAAATAATAATATAGAAAATATGTAATATATTATTGATTATTACTAAATTTTCCATAGCCTACGAAGTTAAGAACTTACTAGAAATAATTTGTGTTTTACCTTATAATTCTAGATTAGTTTTCTAGATGTTCAGCTACATATAGGAAAAATAGCATAGGTGCTACTATTAGCAAAAATAAATTTCTAACATTTGAGTAACAGATCAGAACATATAAATACATATATCAAAACAAATTAAATATATTGATAGAATGACTAAAGATATATTTAAACCATGCTAACGAAAACTGATACCTAAAATAGCATTAACAGTTATACTGTATAACTAAAGAATGAGTAATTATTCAGTTAAATGTAACTCAAGAAATATTTGTTCTTTAATTATTTAACTTGAATGATGATGATTTAGTGAAACAGCTTCTCAACAGTTAAATAATCAAATTAAAGAATGAGTTTCTCTTGAGTGTTTTTGCTTAGTAAATAAAATATTTAATAAGCCAACAACTAAAATATTTAATTCAAATATATTTTACTATTAATTGCATGCTTCTTGTCATTAATTACTTGCATAAACATAAGATGTAATCCTGGAACAGGATTAGGTTACATTAAAGGTGTTTTACCTAAAAATTGTGATTCACTTTTCTCAACATAACAAGTCCTAGTTCATAAGAATATCCAAAGTGGACAAAGACATAATATATATATTTTACTTTATTTTGATGATGATGACATTCTTATTTAACTTTTTTCCCCGTGTAAGAATTTTTGCATTTGTAAAGATTTTTCTGAATCAGAAGGAATATTTTAATTGGTTTAGTTTTTTACATTTGTAGTATCATGTTTATAAAATATCTTTAACTGAAACTTCACTATTATTAATATTTTTAAATTCTGTTCATATATGGAATTTTAAAATATTTAGCTGAATTATGAATAACTCATATAAAACATGGTCAAACAAAGAATATTTCATTTTCAAATTATCTGTCATGAAAAGATTTATAAGGAATTGCACACAATAACAACTAACTATTAAACTGGCTGCTTATTAAATTCAATTTCTTCAACCTTCTTTTAATGCTATTTTCCTCCTATGTTTGTCTATAGTTATATCAATATTTGTATTATTTTGTTGTTAAGTCTGTTTATTCATCAAATAAATTTCAAAATCTCTGGAAACATGTTTGTCAAACAATAGATCAGTCAATAGCTTTATCAAACATTCAAGACTGGAAGAAGCAAATGATGAAAGATACATGTGATTTAATATTTTATCTCAGAAATCAGATAATTCTATTTCAAATAGTCATTATTTTATTAATAAGTATATAATGATTTTTAAACAAAATTACACTCGTTGAAACGAATAAATGAATGTTTTAAGGATAATTTTACCATGTAAATGCGAAGTCCAAGAAAATTTGTATTAAATAAGATTTCTTTAAATGCATTAATATGGCGGCCAAAGATACAAAACATAATTATTTTCACGCTGACTTTAAAATGCATTGCGTCTGTTCTTTCAATTGTTATGAGGAAGTCAACAGATGAGCAATACAAAGAACAAGCACTCATTAGCAAAGAACTGATTGACACAAAATTTATAGAAATCCAGATTTCTTAAACTGTGTTACTGATAAAATCTGTTGTTTCTTATATGATCCGAGAGCAAATGCTCCTGATCGGCATGCTAATTAGCCTCTTCACCAAGACAAAAATTTCTGTTCAACAGATCCAACAGGAATATAATGCTTGTGACAATGAAAAGCCTGGTGCATCACGAGTTCACAGCCGACGGTTGACCCGTTAACAAGAAGTCCTACATTGGCATTTTCGATCGCTTTTGTGACACAAGACGAAACCAGTCGCATCTCTGGTAAATAAAAAGCTGTATTCTTCAACAAGACAATCTCCGGTTCAGCCTCTCCTAGTTGGTTAGAAGCCTATGTAGCAAAACGCCAAATATCTATACTTTCATAATCTCCTTATTTTCGCTGGCCTTCACTCTCACAAATTTTCATGTCTTAATTAATTAATTAAAATGAAAGCTGCACTGATGGGTCTCACTCAGATTCAAATTAACAGAGGAGGTGGTGAAAAGTGCAGCGACGATTGCACTCATGATGATGATGCAAAATAGTTTATAACTTGTATGACTGTTTTAATAAGTGCTGCGTACATTGGCAGAAGTATGTAGCTGCAGGAGCTTATTTTCAAGGTTTTTCCGTAAATACTTGTACTATTAACTTAATAAAAGTCATATTCAAAAATAAATTGAAGTTTTAATATCACGTATATCTGCCGCAAATATCGCGTTATTCGAAATCATCAAACAAGTCCTTCACACTCATACAGGTTATCTAATAATGAATGAGCGTAATTTCACATTTGAATTAAACATATTGTATGACATCAAATAACTAATGATAAATTATTATTTTCGCATAGCTTCATATCCTGAAACTATGCTTATGGGATAAAAGGTTAGTTTACATACATAGAAAATCAGAAGCAAATCTGATTTCCTTCTTGGTGCTTCTAGTTCATATTAGGAGTTATTTAAATACTAGAAAGAAATCAATTTAGATCAGAATTGCTTGGTATTTTTATGTAACTAAAATAAGTTTTAAATTACTTTAAGTCTTTATGAAAATAAATGTTTTTAATGGACATGCCCTAACGTATAGATCTAAAGCAGGTCAGTTGTAAAACTTGTAATTGAATTTTCAGCCTTCTTATTGTTAATAGTTTTTTATAATGATTGTAGATACCTATTTATGAATAAAGAGGGTTTTAGGGACTGAAATGCATACAAGAAATAAAGTTGCATTCTAATAATATAAGTATCATTTTGATATCCTCAGTAACCATGTGATAAGTCTGATATCCCCGCTACATAATGTATGAAACACTTTTAGTCATGGGCGTAACCAGGAAGGGGCATGGGTGGGCACGGCCCCTCAGTCAACCTGGTGCTCTTCCCAGAAAATCACAGCCGAAAAAGTGTTGAGCCGATTTGCAAAAAGAAATAAAAAGCTGAAGCTAATTTAATTGCGCGTAGCGTACCGCGGCCCGCAATTAATCTCTGAATAGTGGACTGAACTTCAAATAATTGGCTGAATGGATCCGCGATAATTCTCTACAACCTGACAATGTGAAGTTATAGGAAAGTTGAGAAATTCTGATCCTAAAAAGAAAAGGTCAATGGCCTTCTGTGGAACCGCTCAAAAAATTGGTCTTTTGAGGTCAGAACATGCACTAATAAATAGAATTAATTTTTACGCATAATTTAGCACCTAACTTATAAAAACGTAATTTTAGGAAACTTGAGCTAATTCGTGGCTGACTGCGAATTAGCGATGAAGTTAATTTACATACTGCCACGTAAGTATAGAATCGTCATCTTTCTCGCAAGTTTCAAGTGTGAAAGTTTTTTTCCCCTCTTTTTTTTCCATCTTTTCCATCATGCCTCGTGGTACTCATTTAACAGACTTTGAGAAAGGGCAAACTGTAGCATTAAGAAGCACTAATTTAAGACATCAGGCAGTAGCAAACAGCATCAAGCGTTCGAAAAATGTAGTTCAGTCAATTTCTGCAAACTGTGGACTAAAGCGTAGAAGTGAACGTCCTTACCCCGCGAGACCGCAGACGAATTGTTAATGCAACCTCTAATTCTACCCAGTCTATGCATCAAATTCGGGACGATTTGCGTGTTCAAGTACATCACGAAACCGTACACAACAACAACAACAACAACAACAGCAACATTGTTCGGTCTCGAATGAGAAGTGCCCCAGCTTTTAGGCCTGAGCACAAAGCTACCCGACTCGATTTTGCTGGAGAAATATGGTCACTCAATGGAATAAGGTAAGTTTTTTGTTTCGTTTAGTCCTATCGTGCTAGCACAAGAAATAACAACCTTTCTGTCATTTCGGCAATCTCAGACGGTATCGGTTTTGACTGAGACTGATGCATAATAGAATGTACAGTACCCAACATGAAAGTATGAAATCCATTTTGGTGAATCTTAAATTTTTTATGATTCAGAAATGATAAAATTCAAAGAAACAAATAGCATATAAAATTAATATCATGTTTATTCACTTGATTATTGATATTTTGCATGGAAGTGATTTTAAAATTTTTAGTTAAATTTTTCAAAATTAATGAGAACAAATATTTAAAAACGAATTATATATATATTAATCGATGAATCTGTCGTCTTCCTCATAAAATGAATTAGACTTTTCACAATCGATGCTTTCTAAGTACTCTTTTACTCGCATTTTTGCTATTTGCATCTTTGTTTTCATTTCTCTATAATTTCTTTCTGTGGATCTGCTCCAATCCGCTTCAAAATCTTTGGCACTTATATAATTACTACAACTTGATGAAGCGAGAGACAATTCGCTGACACTCTGACTACAAATATCAATTATGTTTTTGTCATAGTTGTTTGGTGACAAAACAGAATTTTTTTCGTTCTTTCCAAAAAGAGAAGTGACACGTCCAGGTACCAGTATATGATCTTGCGATTCTATGCCGTTTACTTGTTTTAATCTATCGATAACATGTTTCAGTTCTAGCATAAATGGCTTAATTGATTTGTATTCTTTCATAAATTTATTCGAAGCCATTTTCGTTTCCGTTGATAATGCATTAATTTTTGTGTGTAAATTGAAAATTTTTTCTTCGTTGTTTCTTATTAATTCATCCAAATTTGTGTAATATTTAGTGAATGCCGGATACTCCTGTGTTAACATGTGTTTTAGTTTTAATTTAACATTGGTGTTCTTTTGTATCTCGTCTTTTAAACCTTTTAATGAAGTATTGAATAAGTGAAAAACCAGTTGATTTTTTCTTTGACGATAATAACAACTGACTAAATAAAGGAATAAAAATAGAGAAATAGCTCTTGAGTTCACCAAATTAAAATCGTAAACATTCCATAAAATTTCCATAATGATATCTATCAATTCGTAGGCAGTATGTTTAATATAATCTTTTGTAAGGTTGTATTTATATCTTCTTTTATCTTCCACTACGTGCCACTTAGAACAGTAGAAACCGGTGATTATATATATGAGGAGGCAAACAGTCAAGATTTCAAAAATTAATATATACGGTTTCATGATGATTGTTAAAATTGATAATTAAACAAAAATATTATTACTGTATTGTTAAATAATTCGAAACAATTTTAGTTTAAATAAAATTGTTATTTAATTTATTCGGTTCGTTTTCAAAAAGAAAAAAAAAACAAATTAAAATTTAGAATTTTTTTATTAAATTATAATAACATGGAGTAGTTCATGCTTCATTATGTATCCTGTTTTTGCACTGCATAATAGTAAAAAATAAACAACTTTTGATATTGCCTAGCAATAAGCTGTAATTCTGTAATTTCGTTCTAACATTTTTTGAACATATCAGTGCGAGGTAGATGTAAATTTATATTCGGCTTGATTATAATACACAAAATGTCAAATTATTAATATATGTAAGTAAAGTTCTTATTTGACGCATTACGAACAGCGAATCAAAATTAAATTTTTCGGTAATGTTTGACTCACAATTTAATCTGCCAGAAATGTAGGCCTATGTCAGTGACACTGTCATTCAGCCTACACAAACGTACGAATGGTATAAGTGGCAATAAATTTCAGACGGCAAATCCTATTCAAGTAGATCAGACTCAATACGAAATCGAAGAAATTTTGTGAATTCGCGAAGATATCAAAAATGATAGTAGATAATCAATATATTACAGATAAACTACTATCTATTCGGTTAATACTGGAAATTTCTGGTAGCCATGTGCTGTACACACCTGAAATTCCTCTGTAAAACTGCATAAATTTTAATCTAAATCAACTCCGTCTTAGTAACCACTGGCCGCTTCACTTAAACTGTTAAATAGATGTCGGGTATCGTTAAATTCCTATGCGTAGCTCGCGAAGCTTAAGAGTGTTCTGTATGTGCTGTTGTAATTTTCCCATGGAAGCCAATGTTTCTACTACATGGGGCGCAACTCTAGTATAGGATAAATAATACGATGGGCGCATCTTCCTGTATTTTCTCTTTTGAACTCTCCGTTTGACACAGATCAGTGAACTATCAATAGACATCGATCGGAATGACAACCAAAAGGCCTTATAACGTTTCCTTCCAATGAATGCAGTTGCGTATCCAAAAGAACACCCCAGAGAAGCAGCAGCGCGGAAATTCAAAGGGCATCCAAAGCGAATTTGCGAGTGGAAGAGCAAGCGTGACTCTCTTAAGGCTTTCAAGAATAAGAGTGAAACAAAGAGGCCGGCGGAAGGAGGGCGCAAGATCAGCGAAGAATTAGAAGAAAAAGTTCTGCAGTGAATCTGTGAGCAGCGAGAGAAAAATAACCGTATCTCCAGACAGATGCTGATAAACAAGGCAAGAGAAATCTTCATCCAGTTAGATGAAAGTGATAAACAAAACGCGGTATTCACAGTTAGCACAACTGGAAAAATTCATAAAACGTAAATACAGTAATACCGTAATCATTTTGCTTATGGTAGTAGTTAGGGTTTCTCATTTCCCGGTCTTTTGCTTGTCCCGGGATTCCGGGATAAAAGTGAACTGTTTCCCGGGATCCCGGGAAATCCCGGGATAGAATTAATTATTTTTAAGGTATACAAAATATCTTGAAATCAAATGATATAATTATTTTCCATTTTTTAAAGTAATTTTAAAGTTCTGTAACCTCCAAAATCATATTAATAATGCTGTGTAAGGTCTATAGG